TTCTTGAGTTCGAAATAGAGCAACTGCTTTGGGAGACGGTGGTCGGGCATCTGGACAACATGGCCGGTCCAGCGGAGTTGATGGCGGAGGACCATCGCTTCAATGCTGGTGGTCTTTGCTTCTTCCAGCATGCTGACATTTTTCCACTTGTCTTCCCAAGAGATTTGCAGGATTTTTCGGAGGCAACACTGATGGAATCATTCCAGGAGTTGCATATGACATCTGTAGACTGTCCACGTTTCGCAGGCATATAACAGGGTTGGGAGGACAATAGCTTTATAAACAAGCCCCTTGGTATCCCTATGGATGTCCTGTCCTCAAACACTCTCTGCTTCATTCGGAAAAATGCTGCACTCGCAGAGCTCAGCGATGTCGTATTTCAGTGTCAATGTTGACTTTGTGGAGAGGTGGCTGCCAAGGGAGCAGAAATGGTCCACATTTTCTAACATTACACCATTGAGATGTATTTCTGGCATTGCAGAAATATTTATATCCCACTTGATAGGATGATCGAGTAACTGCAATGCCAAAATTCATTGTATTCCTTCATTTTCATCTTATGACACGATCTCTATGTGGTTATTCTGGTATCTCTGCATGACTTTGAAATAGGTTTTCCATTTCCTCCTCTCCCTCCCCAAATCCACACCAAATCTACTGTTTCATTCAGATCTTCATACTTGCACAGAGCTTAGGAAAGTTACTTTTTTTGGACCAGAACTCTCAGAATCACCTTGCTAACACTGGTTTATGTAGTAATTTCAGCACAATCGACACGGGTATCTCCTTCCTGCTACTGAGATAAAGCCCTAGATGATTTTTCCAACACTTTACGTATAATTATTGTCTAACTGCTTGACACGATAATTGGATCTAAGGCATTCTGTGTCTGGAGGAGGAAATATAGCACATCATTCTTGTCTGAAAATATTAGTTAATGAATGATAGGGTTCCGCATCCTGCCATGCTGTCTCGCTCCAGGCCGATATTTCCTAGCCGACTAGAATTAAGGGAAAGGGGGGAAATCCTCCTTTAATAAATCACTTGAACTCTTTTTTCCTTGGATCAATCCATTCTTTCCACATAAATGCTTTATTCTCAATGCATTGTGATGGATTAGTCCAAGTAGGAGAGAATAGGCGAGGGAAAATGGGTCAATGTTGCAGCTTAAAGCCATTACTCATAGGCTGTAGCTACTGGCAAACAGAGCTTTGGGAAAGTTACTCTTTGGTCTGTTTTTGTTGTTGTTGTTGTGTGCCTTCAAGTCATTTCTGACCAATGGTGATCTTAACGTGACCCTTTTCCACCTTTTTCTGGGGCCGAGAGTATAGAAGAGATTTGAGAGTGGATGCTTTTCAATGCCACCAATCTCCACAATGCTGGAAAATGTCATTGACAAGGCAGGGATTGTAACATGGGAGCAATGCCTTCATTTTGCCTCACTTCCCTACCATAGCAACATCAGTTATAGGCTTTCCCCCAAAAGTATATTTTCCAAGAGGTTTTGTTAGCTAATAGCAAGTGTTTCCCCCATGTTGCAGCCTTCTAAAAGGGCTTCCAAGCAAACATCAGCAATAGGTTCCAAAGTTATTGAAACTTCTATTGTTATTGTTGGTCGGACGGTTTATCCAGCAACTTTTCATTTGCTTCTTTCATTTTTTAATACTTGTCTAATGTCAATAGATCAGTAGTGCTCGATTTCTTGTATAAGATCCTGCAGCTCCTCCATGATGACATGATGGCAACAGTCTTGCACAGCAATGGCTCCCAAAGTGACCCATTTAAGGTGGAATCAGGTGTCAAACAGGGAGGTGTTATTGCTCCAACCTTATTTTCCATCTTCATATTTCCATTAGCCACCTTGATTAGCATTTGATGGTCTGACAGGTTTTAGGTGTGGCTTGTTCCTGCCTGGGGAAATCCTTTAATGAGAGTTGATTAGCTGTCCCTGACAGCTTCTTGTCTGGAGTTCCCTTGTGTTTGAGGGTTGTTCTTTATTTGCTGTTGAAGAGGAGGAGATGAGGCAGAGGCAGATAATATTCCAGCTTGAGCAAGAAGACACCTCTCCAAGGTACAAGAGTGGCATTCCCCCATCCCTCCTCCTCCCCACTCCCTTGGATGTACAGGGTGGGAGAAAGTACTCTTGTCTGTTGGAGGCAGGTGTGAATGTTTCCATTGGTCACCTTGATTAGCATTTGATGTCCTGGCAGTTTTTAGGTGTAGCTTGTTCCTGCCTGGGGGGATCCTTTGTTGGGAGGTGATGAGCTGTCCCTGATTGTTTCTTGTCTGGAGTTCCCTGTGTTTGAGGTTATTTATTTATTATTAATTCTAGATATTTGTACCCTTCTCATACCCTTCTCATATCCCCCCCTGGGGGGGGGGGGGCTCAGGGCAACTAAACATTGTTCTTTATTTGCTGTTATAATTTTTTGCAATGGATGTTGAGAGGCAGGTAATATTCCAGCTTGAGCAAGAAGACATCTCTCCAAGGTAGAAGAGTGGCTTTCCCTCTCCTCCTCCTCCTCCTCCTCCTCCTCTTCCTCCTGCGGGGGGGGGGGGAATCCTTTGCTGAGAGGTGACTAGCTGTCCCTGATTGCTTCTTGTCTGGAGTTCCCTTGTGTTTGAGTGTTGTTCTTTATTTGCTGTTATAATTTTTGCAATGGATGCTGTGCCACAGGCAGAGGCAGGTAATATTCCCGATTCAGAACGAAGACACCTCTCCAAGGTACAAGAGTGGCATTTCCCCCCTCCTCCTCTTCTTCTCCCCCCTCCCTTGGATGTACAGGGTGGGAGAAAGTACTGTTGTCTGTTGGAGGCATATGTGAATGTTTCCATTGGCCACCCTGGCACAACCTGGGGTTCACAACCAGATACAGTGAAGACATCTGCCCTTGCGCTATGCTACTCTGCTGCTGAGTATGCATGCCCAGTGTGGAACACATCTCACCACACTAAAACAGTGGATGTGGCTCTTAATGAGACATGCTGCATTATCACGGGGTGTCTGCGCCCTACACCACTGGAGAAATTACACTGTTTAGCCGGTATTGCACCACCTGACATCCGCCGGGAAGTAGCAGCCAATAGTGAAAGGACCAAGGCAGAGACATCTCCAGCTCATCCCTTGTTTGGGTCTCAGCCAGCACGTCAACGACTCAAATCAAGAAATAGTTTTCATAGATCTACAGAGACACTCGCTGGAACACCTCAGCAAGCGAGAGTTCAAAAGTGGCAGGCTCAAACCCAGCACCTCAATCCGTGGGTGATACCAGATGAGACTCCCCCCTGGGCACACAGAAGACTGGGCGACTTGGAAGGCGCTGAACAGACTGCGCTCTGGCACCATGAGATGCAGAGCCAACCTTAAGAAATGGGGCTACAAAGTGGAATCCACGACATGCGAGTGTGGAGAAGAGCAAACCACTGACCACCTGCTGCAATGCAACCTGAGCCCTGCCACATGCACAATGGAGGACCTCCTTGCAGCAACAGCACTCCAAGTGGCCAGATACTGGTCAAAGGACATTTAATCAACTACCAAGTTTGCAAAATTGTGTGTTTTTTAATCTGTTTGTTTGTTTTGTTCTGTTAGAAATGCAATACAATGTTCTGGTTGCGGATGACACGATAAATAAAACCTTGGCAGCAGGCCCGTAGCCAAGATTTCGTTTCGGGGGGGGGGGGAATGTTTTTCGGGAGGGGGGGGGTTTCAGGGGGGGTTTCGGGGGGGGGCTGAGTTTGGGGGGGGGCTGAGTCTGAGTGAAAGAGGGTCTAGCCTAGCAAACCTTTTGTATCATTACCCCAATACCCCCATGCATATGGGATATATTGAGTATGGTGATCAGATCATGATATGAATAACAGTTTAAATAATGCACCAGTAAGGCCTTTTTGCGAACCACCATGAGAATTGGGGGGGGGGGGGGCTGAAGCCCCCCGGCCCCCCCCCCCCCCGGCTACATGCCTGCTTGGCAGTTTTTAGGTGTGGCTTGTTCCTGCCTGGGGGAGTCCTTTGCTGAGAGGTGATTAGCTGTCCTTCATTGTTTCTTGCCTGGAGTTCCCCTGTGTTTGAGGGTTGTAGTTGCTGGGATTTATAGTTCACCTACAATAAAAGAGCATTCTGAACTCCACCAATGATGGAATTGAACCAAACTCGGATCACAGAACTCCCATGACCAACAGAGTTTTGGAGTTGTAGTTCACCTACATCCAGAGAGCCCTGTGTACTCTTCCCACACAGATGAAGTCAATCTTGAGAACATCAGAGACAACAGAGCAGAAATAAGAATCATAGAAGCCAGGCCCCTAGCCAGGATTTCGTTTCGGGGGGGGGGGGGTTTTCAGGGGGGTTTCGGGGGGGCTGAGTTTCGGGGGGGGGGCTGAGTCTGAGTGAAAGAGGGTCTAGCCTAGCAAACCTTTTGTATCATTACCCCAATACCCCCATGCATATGGGATATATTGAGTATGGTGATCAGATCATGATATGAATAAACATAACAGTTTAAGTAATGCACCAGTAAGGCCTTTTCGCGAACCACCATGAGAATTTCAGGGGGGGGGGGGGCTGAAGCCCCTCGAGCCCCCCCCCCCCCGGCTACATGCCTGCTTGGCAGTTTTTAGGTGTGGCTTGTTCCTGCCTGGGGGAGTCCTTTGCTGAGAGGTGATTAGCTGTCCTTCATTGTCTCTTGTCTGGAGTTCCCCTGTGTTTGAGGGTTGTTCACCTCTCCAAGGTGCAATAGTAGCTTTCCCTCTCCTCCTCCTCCTCTTCTCCCCCCCCCCCCCAATGTCTAGGGTGGAAGAAAGAACTTGTAGGCACCTCTCCAAGGTAGAGTGTGGCTTTCCCTGCCTCTCCAAGGTAATGGCTATCCCTCTCCTCCTCTTCCTCCTCCCTCTCTGGGAGAGGCGTTGCCCTTTTAAGAAGCCCCACCACTGCCAGCCCAGGTAAGCCCATCCCATTGGCAGGGGCCGGCTCCTATGGCAACCCAATCGGATCAGCTGGCTTCATGAATATTCCCCGGACCAGCGAGGGACGAGGCAGCAGCAGCAGCAGCGGCAGGAGCAATAATAATCGTGGCTGGCCTGGGAAGGAGGAGGAGGAGGAGGAGGATGAAGGGGAGGAGGATGGTGATGTCAGCAGCAGCAGCATCAGCCCCGCCGGCCAAGCGCAGGGAGGCTGCAGGTTGCTCTCCATGGTTCCTCCCCGGCCGCCGTCGGAGCTGAAGACACAACACACCTCCGAAGATTCCCTCTTGATCCTGATCCTGGCAAGGCTTGGGCACAGGTGGGGAGTGAGTGACCCCTGGCTGGTGTCTTCTCCTTCTTGACCGGCAGGAATCGTGATGTCTGCCAAGGAGGCGCGGCGGGAAGGCTTGGAGAGGTCTCCACGATGCTTAGGAGGCGGGAGGAGGCTCTGAAAGGGCGGGGAGAGGACCCCCAAGGGTCCCCCCAAGGCGAGGGGTGTGCCAGCTGAGAAAGCCCTGGAAGAGAGAGGAGCATGGAGGCTCCGAAGGCGAGGAAACCCCCTTCTCTTGAAGGCCTCCTCCCTTGAAGACCTCCTCCTCTTGGGCGACCCCTTCTCCCCTCTTGGCCGCCCCCTCCCCCGTTCAAAGCCATGGACAAGCTGCCCCCCTCGATGCGTAAACGACTGTACAGCCTCCCTCAACAGATTGGCAACAAGGCTTCCCTCATGGACGAAGAGGACGAAGGAGAAGGAGGAGAAGGAGAGCAAAGCAAGGACGCCCGTCGCAAAAGCTTCAAGCTCAAGCCGCTGGCGTCGCAAGTCGGGGACCCGCCTGGCATCCTCGGGGAGGCTTCCGGGGGTCTCTCCTCCTCGTCCTCGTCCTCCGCCTCCAAGAATGGGGACTGCCGGCGCTTCAAAGGCGGCAGCCTCTCCTCCTTGCCCGGCCGGCACCCCTCCGGCGAGGAGAAGAGGCTCATCGGGAGCCAGGGACAGCCGGCCTCGCCAGGGAGCCCCCCGAGCCTGGGCCAGGATCAGGCCTCGCCTCCCTCGTCCCCCTCCCCCTCGCCGCCGCCACCCCCTGCTCCTCCGGACGGGCAGCCACAGCCCCCCTCCTCCTCCCCGGCGTCGGCCTCCATCAAGGTGGAAGCCCCCCCAGGGCCGGGGGCAGGGGCCGGGGGCGAGCAGATCAGCCCCGAGGAAGAGGGGGGGCAGGAGGGGCAGCGCCTGGGCCCGCAGGCCGGCTTCATGCACCGGCAGTTCGGGGCCATGCTCCAGCCCGGGGTCAACAAGTTCTCCTTGAGGATGTTCGGGAGCCAGAAGGCGGTGGAGAGGGAGCAGGAGAGGGTCAAGCACGCCGGGTTCTGGATCATCCACCCCTACAGCGATTTCAGGTAAAAGTGGGGGGGGGGGGGGGGGGGGGGAGAGGAAGGAAAGGAGGAAGGAGAAGGATGGAGGGGAGGGGAGAGAGAAGAGGAACAAGGAGGGAGTTCAATGAGAGGAAGAAAGGAAGGAAGGAGTGGAAGGAAAGGGAGGGGAGGAAGGAAAGAAGCAAAGCAAGAAAGGAGTGGAATGAGAGGAAGAAAACAGAAGGAAGGAAGGAAGGAAGGAAGGAAAGGAAGGAAGGAAGGAAGGAAGGAAGGAAGGAGAGGAAGGAGAGGAGGAGGAAGGAAGGAAGAAAGAAGAAAGGAGGAAGAAGAAGGAAGGGAAGGAAGGGAAAAGAGGAAGGAAGGAAGGAAAAAAGGAAAGAGGAAGGAAGGAAGGAAGGAAGGGTGTAAGGAGGAGGGAAGGAGGGAGGAGAAGAAGAAGGAGAGAGGAAGGAGGAAGAAGAGAGGAAAGAAGAGAGGAAGGAAGGAGAAAGAAAGGAAGCAGCGCAAGGAAGGAATGGAAGGAGAGGAAGGTGATGAAGGAAGGGAAGGAAGGAAGCAGAGAAAGGAAGGGGTGGAATGAGAGGAAGGAACGAAGGAAGGAGAGGAAGGAAATGAAGGAAGAAAATGGAGGAAGGAGGGAAGGTCCGAAAAAAGGAGAGGAAGAATTGACAGAAACAAAGGAAGGAGTGGAATGAGAGGAAGGAAAAAAGGAGAGGAAAGAAGGAAGGAAAGGAAGGAAGGAAGGAAGGAAGGAAGGAAGGAAGGAAGGAAGGAAGGAAGAGAAGGAAGAGAAGGAGGAAGGAGAGAGAGAAAGAAGGAAAGAGAAGGAAGGAAGGAAGGAGAGGAAGGAAGAAGGAGGAAGGAAGGAAGGAAGGAGAAGAAGGAGAGAGAGGAAGGAAAGTAAGGAAAGAGAGGAAGGAAAGGAAGGAAGGAGGGACCTCAGGATCACTGGACCTCAGGATCACTTCCCCATCGCTCTCCATCAGCCTCTCCAGGTGTTGTTGAAGGCTTTCATGGCTGGAATCACTGGTTGGCTGTGAGTTTTCTGGGCTGTATGGCCATGTCCCAGAAGCATTCTCTCCTGACGTTTCACCTGCATCTCAAAGGTTGTGAGGTCTGTTGGGAACTAAGCAAGTGGGGTTGCCAACAAAGGATTGCCCCAGGCAGTAAGCAGCCAGACCTTGAAACTGAAAGGCTAATAAATGCTAATCAAGGTGACCACATCCACACCTCCCTCCAACAGACAAAAGTTCTTTCTTGTATCCTGGACATTCCACAGATACATAAACCTCACTTGCCTAGTTTCCAACAGATCTCATAACCTCTGAGGATGCCTGCCATAGATGTTGGTGAAATGTCAGGAGAGAATGCTTCTGGAACATGGCCAGACAGCCCGGAAAACTCACAGCAACCCAACCTTTCCAGGGTTCTCTCAGCTTTCTGTGGCAGACATGGGCAAACTTCATCCCTCCAGGTGTTTTGGACTGCAACTCCCACAATTCCTGTTCAAGTCCAAAACACCTGTAGGGCCAAAGTTTGCCCATGCCTGTTCTATGGGATAAAAGGACAAAGGAAATGAGCATGATATCTTTGCCTTACCCCTGTCCATCTCTTCACCAGCCATTGAGGACTTTTTGCATCTTCCATGGAGATTCTGGATATCAGGGAGTAAAGTTGGCGGAAAGTTATAGCCTGAGCCTCCCTTATATCCGAAACCTGAAATGCTACAAAATTGTCCACCTGAAAGAACAGCACTTTTGCTTTCCTGTGGTTCAATGCACACCAACTTTGTTTCATGTCTGTCACTGTTATAAGGATCTTCAAGTTATGTATAAAAGGGTCTATGACACCTGAATGAATTTCAGGTTTAGACTATCCAAAATCTCTCTAGATAGATAGATACACACACACATACATAAATATTCCAAAATCAGAGGGAAATCCCAAACACTTCCGATCTCAGTTTGGATAAGGGAGAATCCGTCTGTACTTGTCTTTGTTTTATTGGTTATTTTTGGATCGTGATTCCCCAAATCTGCCAGACAGCCTAGCCAACTCTTGGGACTAAAAAAATACTGTTTTGGACTGCAATTCTCCTAATTCTCCAGATAGAATAGTTCCATGAAGTAGTTGAGATATACAGTTCTGTGTGGTCCATGATAAAATAGCAACATTGCCTTGACTGAGGCAACTCACTCCCATGAATCATTATAAACCTTTTGCAGAACTCTTTGCCCATTTTGCTGTAGACAAAGTGATCTCTTCAGTCTCTGAAAGCTCTGCTGGATGTAGGGGAACTACAACTCCAAAACTCAAAGTGAAGAAGGTTGTTTTGGACTACAGTACCCTCTAATCAACACAACTGATAGCATAGCTAGAGGATTCTGGGAGTTGTTTCCTTCACGTCACTATTCCTCAAACTCTGGAGATCCTCAGAAGCTCTCCAGCATCCTTAAGCTGTGTCTTCACTTGCTGTTTGATATACTGAGGAAATTCAGATGCTTCCAGCAATGTTTATCAACCAAGACTTTGAAAAGGTACCTCCTTATCCAAAGTTCTGTGAGCAAATAGAGTTGGGAGTCTCCAGATGTTGAAAATGTGGAGGCATTAATACTTTAAGACAGCATTTCTCAACCTGAGGGTTGGGACCCCGGGGGGGGGGGGGGTTGCAAGGGGATGTCAGAGGGGTCACCAAAGACCATGAGAAAACACAATATTATCTCTTGGTCATGGGAGTTCTGTGTGCCAACTTTGGTTAAATCCCATCATTGGTGGAGTTCAGAATGCTCTTTGATTGTAGGTGAACTATAAATCCCAGCAACTACAACTCCCGAATGTCAACATCTATTTCCCCCAAACCCCTCCAGTGTTCACATTTGGGGAAATTGAGCATTTGTGCCAAGTTGGGTCCAGATCCAACATTGTTTGAGTCCACAGTGCTCTCTGGGTGTAGGTGAACTACAACTCCAAAACTCAAGATCAATGCCCACCAAACCCTTCCAGTATTTGTTGCTGGTCATGGGAGTTCTGTGTGCCAAGTTGGGTTCAATTCCGTCAATTGTGGAGTTCAGAATGCTCTTTGATTGTAGGTGAACTATAAATCCCAGCAACTTCAACTCCCAAATGACAAAATCAATCCCAACCCCACCAGTATTCAGATTTGAGCATATTGGGTATTTGTGCCAGATTTGGTTCAGTGAATGAAAATACATCCTGCATTATCAGATATTTATATTAAGATTCATAACAGTAGCGAAATTGCAGTTATGAAGTAGCAATGAAAATAATGTTATGGTTGGGGGTCAGCACAACCTGAGGAACTGTATTAAAGGGCCACACCATTAGGAAGGTTGAGAAACACTGCGTTAAGAGAATTCAGTATGTGTCACCTGTTGATTTACAGCGACCTCATGAATTTCGTAGGGTCTTCTTTAGCAAGGAATACTCAGAAATGGTTTTGTCGGTTCCCTCCAATGAAATAGTGCTGACAACACTTGGTATTTATTTATAATCTCCCACCCAAGTACTGAGCAGAGCTGACCCTGCTTTGCTTTTAAGATCAGCCATGACCAGGTGCCTTTAGAATAGTATTGGTATCCTATACAACTAAAGAATAAGTCTAAAAATACTAGAAATCTTCTGGGAATGACCACATAAGAGGAATGGGAATGCACCCAGCATCCCCCACCCCAAACATAAAGTTTCCCCATGATCTGGAGATCCTGCACAACTTTCCCCTTTGGTTGAATTGCAGTCCATTTCTCATACAACCTTGAAATAAATGCACATGGAGAGGACAAAAACCAAGGAGCCAAAAGGATGGGAATATTACCTCCACACATCCGAATGCTTCCAACACACCTGATGCACCAACTGCAGAGGTTGGACCGAATCATGATTTCTGCAGCTCAGTTGTCTGCAAGCTGACTCAGACATTAAGTCCCTTACGTTCAGCAGGACTTGCTTCCTAATAAGATTGCAGTCCTGAGTTTGCTCCTTGCCCACTCCCTCCCCCTTTATATGAACCTCATTCAGCTCAATAGGAGTATAGCCTGAGTAAATAATGTGTCATATATCCACATGTATGATTAGGACGGCAGTCACAAATCCATAGGTGGAAATATCTCTCCAATCTTCTCCCATTTAGTAATCTTATATCCAAAGCATGACAGCCATTCTTTGCCCTCCCAGGGATATCAATTTTATTTCTTTTTAGAATTCAACAATAATAAACCATCCGCCCCCCCCCCCGCCCCCCCAATCTATATAAATAAAAATGTAATGTTCGTTAGTTGGATTAACATAACTCAAAAACCACTGGACGAATTGACACCAAATTTGGACACAAGACATCTAACAACCCAAATGTATGTCCTTCACTCAAAAAACATTATTTTGTCATTTGGGAGTTTTAGTTGCTGGGATTCATAGTTCACCTACAATCAAAGAACATTCTGAACCCCACCAGCGATGGAATTGAACCAAACCTGGCACAAAGAACTCCCATGACCAACAGAAAATACTGGAAGGGTTTGGTTTTGGAGTTGTAGTTCACCTACATCCAGATATCACTGTGGACTCAAACAATGATGGATCTGGACCAAACTCTACAAGAATACTCAATATGCCCAAATGTGAACACTGGTGGAGTTTGGGGAAAATAGAATCTTGACATTTGGGAGTTGTAGTTGCTGGGATTTATAGTTCACCTACAATCACAGAGCATTTTGAACCCCACCAACGATAGAATTGGGCCAAACTTCCCACACAGAACCCCCATGTGGGCCACAGCAACGCGTGGCAGGGGACGGCTAGTAATATATAAATAAAATATTGTAACGCCACTACCATCTCCCCAAGATAAAACAACAAGATTTACGGCACATCTCACAAAATTTATAAATACATCACAAAACTCAGTGTGATTCCGTATGCTATGGGGCCACCTGGTGCACCGCATCGGGACAGACGAGGCACAAGCTAGTAATCTATCTAAATAAAAATGTAATGTTTTTTTCGGGATG